CCCCAAAACCCCAAAACCCCAAAACCCCAAAACCCCAAAAAGGGGAGAATAGATTGAAATAATATTAAATATGAGCTGCAAATGCTTTCCTCGTACTTTAGTTTACGAATATAGTATTATGATGTCTCAAGAAACCCAAAACATCTCCCAAAAGAAACACTGTGGTGCACAGTAGGAAGTCCTCCCAGCTGCCCAAGCCTAAAAGAGGTATACTAAAGTCAGGCCAGAGCAATTAAGAATCTCCTATTTGGAAGGGTTACTATAGATAATGAGGCCAGTCGAGGGATAAGTCCTGAAGTGTCACTAAAATATGTAAGTAATACCTTCATTTTGTTGCTTGGAGGTTCCCTGGCTGAGAGACCTTGGTGTTACTCCACAGTCCACAATTTTACATCTGATGTTTTACTGGAATTCTAAAATAATTTTAATCTTTCTCCAGTGAAGGTATTCAACATGCTATTATTAATGTTAATGAAAAATAGAGTAGTAATAATGAACAAATTAAATCAGAGCAATCAGCTGGTAAGGGAGCCAGTGTCCAGTCGTTACAACTGGGTTCCTTTCTGAAGCCGGTTCCTGTGTATCACTCCACATCACAGCAGTAAGTTAGAAAATATTGTAAACCAGAAATTTCGTTAGACACCACTCTGCTTTATTTCTTCACATACCCTTAAGAACCATATATTAGATCTTCAAAAGGTCTCCCACTAAAATTTAGAATGAATTCCAACGTAGTATTCTAAAGAATCTGCTACTTCAAAAATGGTCGATTTAGGCTAGCCTGGATCTCTAAAATAGGCCATGTGCGCTTTCAGGTTTTCCTTCTTGGAAATACCATGCATAAAGCTATTCAAAATATTTAGTTAAGGGTATGCAAGCAGGTAGCTTTATTCTGTAATTACTGATGGCCGTTATCAGAATAGTTTTTCAGCAAAAATAGAAGGGGTTTAATAAAACTGCTGAAGAACCTAACTTCCGGCAGTGCACAACTTCTTAAAATATTTAGATTATATAGAGACTTAGCTGAAGAGTCAGGGTCCATTAGTGTGAAGGCTGTCAATATTATTGCCAACATTTGTTTTAATATGGTTATGAAATAATTTTAGTAAGGAGTACAATTGGAGTTATCCTAAATTCAACAGATCGTGCTTTGGATAGATCGAAATGAACCATTTCAAAATTTATACATTTTAAGTTTTTAGACTCATGTTAGAGTCAAAAAGCTTATTTTAGCTTTCTTAGAGGGATTATTTTGCATTTGTAAGAAAAAATAATAATAGAATCATATTTTGTTCATTTTATGATTGAATTGGAGTTTGCTTTAAATTGTATCATTCAGGAACAAAAATTGACCAAAATCGCGTAAACACTCAACCCCTGTGATGATATTCCAAGAAACTAAATTTGAACCTAGGAAGAGTAGTTTTTACAAGAAATTAGGTACTCTTCCATACTATTTTAGTTCCACATCCGAAAAGAAATACTGCTGCAGCACCTATGATTCAAGGCTTTCCCATTGATATACTCCCAAATGTCCCTACCAAGTTCAACTCTCCTATACCAGCCTACAACACAGACGACTCAGCTACAAGCGGTTACTCCAGTTCTGTAAATCCTTTTCCTTAATCTTAAATATTACCTTAACTGCACCTCTAGCTTTCTAATACCTCTAAAAATCTCCTAGACTAAGCCCAAACCCAAGCTCTAATTCAATTTTAAAAATAGAATAAGGGGTTTTGGGGTTTTGGGGTTTTGGGGTTTTGGGG